TACAGAGCAGAGCGAATGTTTAAAACTACAACTCCTGTTAAGCTCAGTCAGTCCACCTCAGGCATAGCTCATTACCATGACACTTGTTGCAAATCATTAAAAAAAGAAGAAAGCTCTTCACTTAACCATGGTCTTGCATACATCAGTAGTGCTCATTCACATGAATCACAGAGCTCCATTGTAGCCTCGGTCTAGTTTCCCTTAAGCAGTTTTAGAGAGACACTGTTCCTCTGAAGGAAAGTGGTTACCTTTTTACCGTATGTGTCCTCTGAGGTAATATGTCCTCATCGTTTCACCCTTAAAACACGGTGCAGTTAAGTGCAGAGAAACAGACAGTCGGCAGGATAATTGATTGTCTCAGTCTCGGCATGCACCTGTCAATTATCTAATTGAAGCGCTGGGGGGGGGGGGGGGGGGGCGAGAAGAAGGGCACATGGTGTCACATCACATCTCTCGCAGTCTCTCAGGTCACCCAGACCAAACCAAGAACCGTTCCTGTTTCCATACTCTCTGTTCCACACACTTGAAAGCAGTGTGCATGATTACACAAACATAAACTATTGAAATATGCGGCTTTATGAAGATCTAAAAAGTGCTGTGGTTCTTACCAAGGTACGGGGTCCAAGTTGAGACCATTTGTGAAAAATGCTTCCAAGATGTAGATGAGTTTGTTTCTTCATCAGAACAGATTTGGAGAAATTTAGCATCACATGTTCACCAACGGATCCTCTGCAGTGAATGGGTGCCATCAGAATGAGAGTCCAAACAGCTGATAAAAACTAGTAATCCACAACAGTTTTCTCCAAATCTGTTCTGATGAAGAAACAAACTCAATTGCATCTACATTCATCCCAATCTACATTCACATTCATAAAATCCTCGTATTATATATTATATATTGTGCTCAGCCATCTTTAGAATTTTGTCTTTTAACGGGACCTTGAGCGTGGTAATTACATTGCTGTCTATGGGAGGGTCAGAGAGCTCTCAGAATTCATCAAAAATATCTTAATTTGTGTTCTGAAGATGAACGAAGGTCTTACGGGTTTAGAACGACATGAGGGTGAGTAATTAATGACATAGTTTTAGTTTTTTGGGTGAACTAACCCTTTAAAAAGCCCGTGCTCTCAGCAGCTGCGTTGTCGAGAAGTTTCACCTGAGACGAGTTCAACCCAGCGGTAAGGTAGAAAAAAATGACCCAACAAGCTGAACCCAGCATTTGGGCTAAAAAAAAAAGAAGATTTTTTTTTTTGAGTGTAGTAATGTTGCTACCAACTGACTGTCATGTATATTTTACAGCAGTAGAGAGATTTTTTTTTTTTCTTGAGAAAATTTGACGTACCTGCATGTACAGGTGCATCTCAATAAATTAGAATGTCGTGGAAAAGTTCATTTATTTATTTATTTATTAATTTGTGAAACTCGTGTATTAAATAAATTCAATGCACACAAACTGAAGTAGTTTAAGTCTTTGGTTCTTTTTTTAATCGGTCTTATAAAGTATTCTAATTGTTGAGATAGTGAATTGGTGGGTTTTTGTTAAATGTGAGCCAAAATCATCACAATTAAAAGAACCAAAGACTTAAACTACTTCAGTCTGTGTGCATTGAATTTATTTAATACACGAGTTTCACAATTTGAGTTGAATTACTGAAATTAATTAACTTTTCCACGACATTCTAATTTATTGAGATACACCTGTATATCCAGAATAAGGTATATTGAATCGAATCGGAAATCAGAAATTTGTCAAAACCCAGCCCTATTTGTCAGTAGGCTTTTATGTTAGTCTAGACTAATAAAGTCTTCTGTTAAGTTTTGCATTGTATAACCTACAACACTATCGGTGCAATACATCCACTGGCTTTTTCCTTCTGCCTAAAACTGAGCTGCTTCTTAAAAATAAAGGTGCTTCACGATGCCATAGAAGAATCTTTTTGTCTAAATGGTTCCATAAAGAACCTTCAACATCTGAAGAACCTTTCTGTTTCACAAAAGGTAAATTGAGGCGAAAGAAGGTTCTTCAGATTATAAAAAGGTGAGAAAGAGATGGTTTTTTTTAAAGAATCTTTTACTGAATGGTTCTTTGTGGAACCGAAAATGGTTCTTCTATGGCATCGCTGTGAAGAACCTTTTAAGCACCTTTATTTTTAAGAGTATCATGTACCACGATTTTTGATTTTGTTCTGCAGGTGCACATATATTATGTGTGGGTTTGGTTAACTCATTCATTACAGTGGGCGTACATCCGCACAGCAACTTTCTGCCTGACATATTGTGCTACCCATATTTTAACACATTTATTAAGGTACATAATCATAGTTATTTTCCACTTGACATGATGTGATACCAATGTTAATATTAAAAGTCATCCTAACAAAAAAGCACATTTATAGGCAAGCACGACCGTTAAAGTCACCCTGAGTGATTTTCAGAGCAGCATGCTTGACATGAATTTGGATTTTTTTTTATTATACTAAAACAATAGTACTTAAAGGCTTGATTTCTCAAGTTAATGTGAATGGGCTATTTTATTGTCTTATCTGAGTTTGACCGAGAGAGTTTTTCCCAGTACAGTGAAGACAATAAACTAGGCTATTAGAAACCTCTCAAGCTTATTATCACGTAACATGGCAGCAAAGAGAGAAGCAAGGAGAGGTTACGAGTCCCCCGTAGGATGCTAGTGTTTGATTATGACCTCACTTCCACCCCTCAGTGAGTAATGAACCTCTCCGCTCATATTGACTCGTCTAAATGGAACGTTACCCCTCGGCATTTAGTCTCACTGGAACAGCACTCAGCTGCTTTTAATTACATAGGTGAACAAACCTGGCTTAATATAGAACAAATTAACACGCCCCACCAAATTATTATTCAAACCACTCAGAGAAGAACACACAAGTTAGTGTGAATGACATTCGTGCTATAGGAGATTGGATGAATTGAAAAAGTCATGCAAGAATAATTTTTCCAGTCGACCTCAGAATCGCATCAAGTTTACCAATTAATTTTAGCAGAGTTGAGATTTAGAAGTTTATTGCTGATGATGGGAAATACTACAACATGCACTGGATTGATATGCAAATCAAAGTTGTCAATGACACAATTGTGTCTATTATTTAACAATGCAGTTAAATAAGCTACTGTATAAATGAGTCAATTGCGAAAGGCGAATGAGATGAGGGTTTTGGTGTCTGAATCACGAAATGCATAAAATAATTACCTACAAAATGGAATGTACCAATACTTCTTGAACAGGGAGAAAGTTGGCGATGATTCTAGGGGCCCCGGCTGTTCTAAGGGCACACCCCCCCACCCCACCAGAACGCGTTTTCAGCCAGGGCCCCACATACCCTACCTATGGCCCTGTCAATGAAATATGCATATCATAATTACAGAAAGATCATTTTATTCCCTATCATTTATGCTTTTAAAGAAAATATAAACTCAGAATTGTAAGAAGTTGACTTTGAAAAAGTCAGAATTACGAGACATAAACTTGCATTACTGAGAAACGAATTGCAATATATCAATTTGGAATGACAAGAAATAAAGTCAGATTAGGGAGATTATGTTTGTTACATTTTTTTTAAATTCCGTGGTGGAAACAGGCTGCCATGTGGAATGGCTCTGCACACAATTTTTGCTTTAGCGTATAGTACTGAAAATTTTCAGGTGTGACTTTGGTTTTAGAATGTGCTTGTTCCTCTCGTAAATAACCAATTTATGTGTGAATCGTATGAAGTCCTCAAAAACAAGACTGACGACCATATTCTGCTGCTTTGTGAACAAGGCTTCTAATGCAGAACTATGGCAAATGTGCAAAGCAATTGATCAGTGCTGACAACAGACTACCACAGTGTAAAGACTGGTGGAGTCTCTGTACGATATGCTTCACGGCCCCTCTCCTCCCACTCTCATTGTGTTCGTATCTCCGTGTCCTGTCCACAGGGAGCGCGCGGCTCAGCTCAAGTTCATACGGATGGTGCCCCATAAATTTCAGCAGCCCTTTCTCCTGTAGGGTGCCAACAACATTGATGTACTTATCGAGCTGTTGGCTGAGATGGAGTTGAAGGCGGGAGGGGGTTTAACCACTGTCTTATTACCATGGTGAGCAATCCGACACATCTGCGTCATCATCCTGGGCCTCCTGTGTGAAGCGTTCATCTGAGAGATACGGATGCCAGGAATGACCCCGGTATGTTCAGGGGCCTGGTGCCCTTTCTTTGGCCGCAAAGCAATGAGATAAATGAATGACACTTCCATCTTCTTCTGAGACATTATCGGAAGCCTTAAGCCCTGTTTAATTATGATGGAGACAGGGCCTGGGTGCCTTGAGCGTGACATCAGAGAAGATGAAATGAGTCATTCTAACCTTGCACTTGATAAGGTCCCATGCAGTTAGAGTCAGGAAAATTCTGGTCATGATTTGGCACTTGGCTGGGTTATGGATTACTGCGGACCACTTACAGTTTATTCACTGACCGCTGATACAAAATTGGAAAGCATTTGTGAAAATCACAAGCTTCAAACAGACTGCAACAAAATTTCCAGAAGTCAGGGTGCATAGGATTTTATCACTCTGCCAAAAAAACGAAATGATGTTTACAAGCTACTGAGTTGGGTAATCATTGTAAATTTTGCCAAAGTGTGCGATGTTAGAGACATCATATATAGTTTTGAGGCTCTGAGTGTGTGTTTGTGTGTGTGTGTGTGTGTGTGTGTGTGTGTGTGTGTGTGTATATATATATATATATATATATATTGTAAAAAAAAAAAGAAAAATTTACAGTAAAAAACGGGCAAGCTGAGGTTGCCAGAATGTTACCGTAAAAAATAAGGTAGCAACATTTTACGGATTTAACTTGCATTTACATTTAAAAACCATATTTCATTAACTGATATAATGTTAATATACCAACCTATTGAAGTACTGAAATCTGTTTAGCACCATTTTAATACATTGATAACCACCAAAAGCAGGTGGTGCATAGGAAAGTCACATGATGAATCAAAGCTCATCACAAGCAGCTTTTCCACAAGCTTAAAAGGAAAATACTAACATATATATGTGGTGCAGTGTGTCATTCACATAAACACTAAACATCGTCATGGTAACACAAATGAAACTAAGAAGAAACAAAAAAACAACAGCATTGTAAACATTTGTAGTTGTGCACAGATATTTTTTTTTTACATTTAGATGTCAATATGTTGAAGATGTGCATTTCAGTGTCTAATCGCAGGTAAGAAATTGTGCTAGACAGTGTTGGGGAAAGTTACATTTAAAAGTAATGCATTACAATATTGCGTTACTCCCCAAAAAAGTAACTAATTGCGTTAGTTACTTTTTATGGAAAGTAATGCCTTACGATTCTTTTACATTACTTTTTCTCATCTGGGCTGGGCTTACTTGTTTGATTTTAATATAAAAAGTTCTATTTTTGGCAAATGTAAATGCTCTTTCACACCAAAAAAAAGGGGAAATAAATATGCCTCAGCCATTCTGGATTGCATGGAGCATAATACACAGGAGAAGAAAAGAAAGGAAGAAATAAGAAACACAAATGCCATGTTTATCTAAAGTCATTTTTGCTTCTTTTTTTTTGTATGTTTGAATTGGATCATCGAAGGTCAGCAGTTAAGATATTGGTTAAAAAAATGGGATTAAATACATAAAGGATATTTATGTAATTTAACATATATTAATAATTGCAGGTTTGGATCATATTCTGAGTTTGCATTATACTTTATTTATTTTGAGGAATACTGAATCTGTATTTGTGCAAATGAGATGAGTAAATGCATGTTAACATTTGAAATCTGATTATGTAACTCACGTTACTTAATGCTTTACCCCCAAAACTGGTGCTAGAGCCACACTTTATGCATGAATGCTTAAAATTACCAATGAGTTCACATTGGGTGTACAGAAAATACTGCTAAAACATTCTCAAAATTGATTAATGCACTCATCATTTTATTTATATGTATAAAATAGCATTGTTTATTTCAGATTTACCCACACTTCATGACACATAAAAACAAAAAGAATGACGATTGGTCATTTCCCATGTTGCTCAGACAGTCTCTTCCTGTTTAAAACAGTGAATCTTGACCAGAATGAGCTGCTTTATAAACCAAACTATATGCCAAGAGGCGAACATATGTTATCACGGATGTGATTCTTATTCACAGCCTGGCCAAAAGGTGAGGTCTTTGATATGACGCTTACATATGTTCCTGCCACTCTTTATCCATTTGAAAAGCATGCCCAGCAGTGAGATAACAGGAGGTGGAATGAGTGGCTCTTTGGGAACGTTGAATTGTTTGTAGGTGACAAAAAAGGTCAGGTGATTTAATCTATCTGAAACACTGTCACAGCATTCTGATCAATACGCTCTCATGCTAATGTCAGCGTGAGGAGACAATCCTCGCTACGAGTAGCAGGTGGATAACAAAAGCCTGATTGGAATTAAAATGACTTTTGTGCTATTGTCCGTTACCTTTGCAGGTCAAACTCAATACGGAGCCCTTCTAAAGAGGCAGTCAGACATCCTGCTGTCCACTTTAATGCATCTGATAGCGTCCTGGCTGTTGCAGGAAAAGGGCACCTGTTCACCAGTATTGCCATTCTTCCAACGGCCCTCACCGCTGCTGAAAAGTTCAATGCGCCTTTTACCTACAATAATGAAAGGTTTGGGAGACACCGAAACACACACTTAGTGAAGAATGAACAGGTTCCACATGTATTGTAGATCAATGAAACTGAAGTTCTACTTGTACAGAAGGCGATCTAGTTTTATTTTCAATTCTGTTTAAAAAGGGATAAATTGGTAGCCTCTCCACTCTAATTGTCTCCTTACAAATGCTCTTATATACGGTAAATTCAGTCCTCTTGATAAAAAAAGGCCTGTTGACTCTGGTTGGCCTTTAATAAAGTGTAAGCTTTTGACTGACACCTAAAGCTAATCGTGTAGACCTTGAGTAAACCAACATACACGATAAATGGACAAAAAGTTTCCAAAGTGTGAAGATAATCACAAAATGAGGGTTGTCAATTGAACAAAGATCTTAAATCAAATTAATTACATGACAGGCTGATTAATTAATCAAATTAACGGCATGATGCCACCTTGGTGAGGTTGAGTCATGATTAAACATGTAACACATTATTAGAATTCATTGTACTAATTTAACAAGTTCAAAATAAAGTGCATCAAAAATATGCCCCTTGAGATGCAATCCATAGTTTCAGATATTGGACAGATGAATGGCTTTTTGTTTATGCTCATTTTGTTTACCTCAACATATCACTCATGAGGTTTGGTTATTGTAAGTAGAGCTTGGTATGTGTAAACATAGATATAGTCTGCTTATTCAATATTAATATCTTTTTAAGAGGAGTGAATTTGCTATCAAAGTCCAGAGAGTTCAAGTGAGGACATTTTTATTGAATAGAATGTTGGTCCTATTTATGCTTAGTCACTTTGTGTCTTATTTTAAATTTATTACTTTTACTAATTCTTTTTAATTTAATATTCCAGTTACTGTTGTACGTGCTATATGCTGTGCTGCATGTGCTAGGCACACTACATTTTTGGAAAAACTATTCCTTTAAAATCAGTTTAACTAATTTAATCTGATTGCATAATTGTTCTAAACCCTGTCATATATCATCAGAGAGTGAATGGCTGTTTTGTTAAATGAACATGGGTCTTGGTTTTATGGCTTCAGAACACTAGGCTTTCTGTGGTTGGATATTGGGAGAATGCCAGAGCCGTTACGCAGATGTCTGTCTGAGAGAGGAGAGGAATCTATACTTCTGGCTGACACAAACACAACAGCACAGCAGTGCATTCAGGCCCAGGAGATTGGCTGAATCATAACTAATGAATATTTTCCAAGCCTGCTCAGGTTGCACATTACACTTCAGGAGCCACTGAACCAGTTCTGGTTAGCCCCTCATGAAATCTACACACTTTTTAGATTTTTCCCCCACTGATTGCATGGGGGGGGGGGGGGGGGGGGGGGGGGGGTGCAGAATGGATTTAAATATTGTAAACCGTGTTAAACTGAGCTTGGAGTACTACAATCTAATTGGCAGCTAATAGGTTTATTGGCAATGGCAAATCGCAAAGGCTGACAACACTAAGCTCAGAAGTCCGCTCACAGCAAATGGTCTCTTGTCAAATGTGCATGTTTGTTGTGGTGCAAGTTGCCCAGTCCGTGAAATATAATATAATAAACTATTGTCAAGGGGTAATAAACTGCCAATAACCTGAAATCTGTACTTCCAGTGGTTCTCAAAGTATGTTGCACACACTCCAACACACATTGAAATCTAAAGTGTTGATGATAGAAGTGAGAAGCAATGAGGTTTATGTGCAGTTTCTTCGTCTCTGCCGCCTTCTCCCTATATGATGTTGAGCGCACTCATTGTGCAGATTTAAACATATTGTCATTCTTGCTTATGCACCATATTCAAGTGGAGGTGGACAAGGTTTTAATTTTAAAGTTTTGTCTGGTTTTACACATAAAACAATTAAATGTCTTCAGAAGACTTGGAATAATGTGAACAAACCATATGGACTACTTTTGTATACTTTGTATCATAAAACATGGACTACTTTATGATAATATGTGCGCTCATGTGTTCACAGATGAAAACGTCATATGGTAAGTAGTAAAAATTACAAAATATTGCATCTGCAAAGCAGTATGGGAGTCCAATATAAATATATTAGTTTTTTTCAAAAAACATGTTTTTTATTATGTTATCATGTTTTTTATTGTGTTTTATTGTATTAGTTAGCTGTATTTTTAAGTTATTTTTTAACCTAATCAAAATAACCTAACTGCAGTTTGATTGAGATTCATTGGAATGCACAATGAAAAAACATGATTTTTGAAAATTTTAAAAAATGGAGTTATCTGTTTTGCAAATAAACTCTTCATACAGTATATATATATATATATATTCTGACTTTTTTTCTCTCAAGTACGAATTTATATCCCAAAATTCTGTCTTTTCTTCTCCGAGAACACACTACACGATTGTCAGGCCGATTATGAATGGAATTTGGTCTTGCTAATATGGTATATTGACTGTGTTTGGCGCAGGCTAAGGTCAGTATAGTTTAAAGTTGTAGTAAATGTGATGTTGGTGATATTTACATGATTCGCCCTAATCAACAATTCTTAGAGTGATTGTGTTTTTCTTTTAGTACATCTGGGAGTGTTTGTAGTTATAGCCTTGCCCACCCTGGAGACACCGCTGTTCTGAACACATGCTTCACCAGGCATTGATGTCAACCTCAACTAAATTATGCCGTTCCATCAGGTACACCGAAGACCTAGTACACCAGCTCCCCAGCCGGGATCAGTTCCCTCAATCAATAGGACCAGTGTTCTGTGCACAGAGACAAAGATAAACAACTCATCCTCATGTTAGATGGTCCGCAAAAGCAGTCCTGGCAGAGACTTTTATGAGCGCAAACATCATATAATGCAGTCTCAAAACACTTGCCCCAAGAAGGACGACCATGACTGATTTCCAACTCAAAAGAATCCTTTTCAGTAGCAGAAGTGTCACCTCTCTTTTGTCCAATTCATTTCTCATTTCAGCCATATTTGTGCAAGCTGCACTGCATCTTGTCTACTGATGGTAGAATATTGTCAAAATGCGGGGATCATTTATGGCTAAATGTGCATCTGCATTTCGCCCCAATGCATCATTTCTTCAAATGGAGCTCTTGATTGATGGCCTGCACCATTCCAAACACCATCCTGTCAGTTATAATGCATCACCTGTTGCGCTCTGGTTTGCAGTTTCTATTTGAAATTATTCTGTGATAATGAAGTGCAAATGCCCTTGGTTCTGGCATGAGATTGAACTGCCTCAATGTAACAACCTTTCTACAGGCAAATCATCTCCTTGGCTCCTCGTAGCTAAGTTAATAAATCTAGGTGCTATGAAGTGAAAAGACCGTCAACAGATTGTCTTTTGCCATCGCTGATGAATGAAATTTCGTTGCGACCCCTAAATCCTCACTGTAACAAGTCGGTGTATTTGATAAAACAAGAAATATCTGTGCTTTATAGATGATAAGACAGGAAATCGTATCCATCACCCCAGGAACAGACGCACACTACATCTGTTTACCACCACATGGGTTGTCTTAATTTCTCTCAGCATAAATTTATGTAGCCTGTAATGGAAACTCAGTGACTTAAACAGTAAATTTAATGATCACATTCTGTTGCTTTGGGTTCCGTGCCAGGGGAATCCGAACGATGCCTCAAATATTCATATTTTGTGCAAAAAGATGAAGCTTCGTTTCATATGAGGTACAACAAACATACTTGGAAAATATGACATTTCAGATTTCATCTCAACTTAATACAGAAATATGTTGCCTCACAGGCTGTGTTTGAAATACAGACTCCATAGAACAAAAGTATTGGATGATAAGTTTCAAACTTGGCGCACTTAGATATGCGTAGTGCAAATGTTAAATCATTGGTTCGGATCACACAGTCATAATTGATTAGAGGCTAAAAGTGCCATTACATCTTTGGAGATTAAATGTCTGTTCTCTCTGTTTTTTACTGACAAGGTGAGTATAGATAAAGTGGATGTGCATTTGTAAATTTCATTATACTTGCTAGTCCTCTCCTTTTTTAGATGTCAGATGTTTCCTATATGAGGAAGGCTCATGAAGCGTCCCACTGGGTGAAGGCCTTTGACAGCATATACTAGAGAGGAGTAAGTATAGGCCCACATAGAACCAGAATTATTTAGAAGTGAATTAAGATAAAAGTAAAATGCCTTATTGGTAGCTGACAGCATTATTAAATGCAAAATATTTCATTAATAAACAAGGGGTTGGGGATGTAGAATTTTGTTCAAATTCTGCTGATGGGACAGTGACGACATTATTATTCATCATTTCCTCTTTATAGCACGAAATAAACATGAATGAACATCAGAAGGTTTCTTTTTTGCACTGTGGAAAGACGTCAATACACCATTTATCAAGTTAAAGTCCACCAACGTTAATCTACTCTCCGGTCTGATTTGTTTGTTGGACAAAATAGCAGATTCGGCATTATGATTGGTCAGATCGCCTGTCAATCAAATTCCCGGTGAAGGGCGAATGACATGACTTGAGCATGTTTTTAATTTCTGAAGTAAATTTTAATTTCTGTTTTTGTTGTCATTTCTGATGCACACATAAAAAACAAGTCAAATTATATTCTTGACAAGAAGATTTGATTAGGTTTTTGGAATATCATTGTTATTATTTATTAGATTTGAACAAAACAGCTTCACTTGTTAATGAATGTAAACTCATGTCTGGAAATTATTGGAGTACATTAAAAGAAATGACAAGACATTTTAGTATTCATCCAAATGTCATCTTTAGTTGTAAAAAAAACAAAACACTTATTAATATTTAAAATATTTGATTACCGAGTCAAAGTCATGAGGTGCAACCAACATGCAGAAAAAAAGAAATATAAAACAGGACCCCTGCAGACCCTAGTGAGTCATGACTGCGTGTCAAGGTGAAAAAATCTCTTAACATTTCAAATAATTTGACGTTTTTATGACAAGACAAATAAATATTAATAATAAATATTTTATTTTATGAATATATAATATTTTATATATATTTTTTAAAAGATATATATTTTAAAACTTTTTTTAAATAACCTTTTTCTTTATCATGGACACACTTATTTGACACGGACCCAGAAATCTGTAGAGCTTTCCAGTCATCAGTTTAGCAGAGCCTCCCGCTGCCCCTTCCCTCGCCCGTTCTCTGGGAGTTCAAAGTGTGCACCTCTATTGGAATGACAGGTTGCGTGATTGGTGTGTGTTTGAGGGAAAAGGTCACATAGCTTGACATCTGTTCTTATTATCCAGCAGCGTAAATCGACTCTGGAACCAAATGTCAAGAAAACGTGGATTAGATCCAGCTAAGATAGTAAAGGGCTCTGTAAGAACTAAGTCTTCATAAAAGGCCGATTTGTTGTGTCTCACTTTGCACCGAATCACAGATGCGTATCTCCTAACTACAATTATTCGCCCGTTTAGCCTAAATCTAGCTCTCAGTCCGTGGAGATTTGTCCTCACTTAGCAGAGCTACAGCCTTGCTGATTCATAGGCAGTTCTACAGGGATGCTGACACACAAGCTATTGAACACCTGCACTGCTCACTGACTCAAGGTTTAGAAAATGCATTAAATTTTAAATACATCATTAAGGGTGGTGGGATAAATGAGAGGCCTCATTAATTATTGTCTGCAAAAACTTGCAGGGTCTGTAGATGTGTTATTTGTTGTTATTGACGATGATGAATAATTTCTGCAGCGCACGTGAGAGTAAGATTAGTATTTATTTGAGTCTAGTACACACTATTTAACCATTTCAAGAGGTAATTGTACTGAGAACCACAGATGGGACAAGAAAGAGTGTCTTTGATCTCATGTTAATGTGGGAATTTCCTTTTTGGGCAGTGGAGTAAATGAAACGGCTCTCATCTTCTGCACCCCTCATCTGGTGTGTTTTGAGTTTGCTGATGCTGACAACCTGTTTCCTGAAAAAAGAATTTCTACTGACACTCATGTGAATCACTTTGGTAAATCGTTATTCATTCCGTGATGATTCTGCTTGGGCTGAGTAAAATTTGCAAAATGTTTGGAAATCCATGTGGAGTATGGAAAGATGTGATTCATGACTTAGCCTACTCACTGGCACCAAACAGAGAGTAGGCCCTACTCTAATGCAAATGAACAGAGCACGTTATGTACACCTGATGAGAAATACGGGGGATGTTTGGCTCATAGCCTACATAACATGATAGAGCAAGAAAGAGAGTAGGCTAGAGAACGCTGCTTTGACTGAAGAGGCTGCTTCTGTGCTGCCTGCATGGGAAATGACCATTTAATGCAGGATTGGATTCGTTAAAAAAAATACCCGAACCGAATGATTTATGAGACGTTCGGTTAACGGTTCTCGAACGTGCTGATGGAACACCGTGCAGTTTTTCCTCCATCATTCAGCGGCACCACAACACCGCTACGAACGAAACATAGCCTACCGCGCAACCAGTGAAGTTCGATTCCCGAATGAGTGAATCATTACCACGGCGAGACCAAGGTATTTCGCGTGCGAGTGACTCTTGTGAGCCGGTTCTTTTGAATGTATATATCCAAATCGCTACCAGTGTAGTCCGTTTCCCCAAACGAATGACTCGTTTGAGTCGGTTCTTTTTAGTGACTCGGAAACATACGCCCGCAATGAAGACCATTTACCACAACACCGCTACGAACGAAACATAGCCTACCGCGCAACCAGTGAAGTTCGATTCCCGAATGAGTGAATCATTACCACAGCGAGACCAAGGTATTTCGCGTGCGAGTGACTCTTGTGAGCCGGTTCTTTTGAATGTATATATCCAAATCGCTACCAGTGTAGTCCGTTTCCCCAAACGAATGACTCTTTTGAGTCGGTTCTTTTTAGTGACTCGGAAACATACGCCCGCAATGAAGACCATTTCCCCGAACAAAAAATGACTCTTACGAGTCAGATGTATATTGAATCAAAAGACGTTTGATTCAATCGGTGCGGTTAGGCTACTAAACGTACTTGTTAATTTCGTCATGTCCAACTCGAAATGGTCAAGTTATATGTTTGATTTATAGCTCGAGATTTAAATCGTTGTAGCTGAGTGGTTATTTGCATGACAGCTTATTTGTATTTTATATAAATTAATTAGTTACATTTGACAGCATTTCTGTCTGTTCATTAGTCGAGTTAAATACAAATTATTGGATTATGTCGCGTCTAAAACGTCCCTAAAGCTTATAAACAAGTTTTTGAAAGACTTTTATTTTTTGATTTGTTTTGTTGGATTCTGAAGGATCTCAGTATTTCTAACAGACTGCTGAGGGCAGTAAACCCAATAAGAATTATCCCTGATTTCTAAAGAATCCTTTCAAAAATGTCTTCTTCAAAACTAAAAGGGCCGTTAATGGAATCGCAAAGGTAGCATGAATTATTAAGAAGAATTGGAATCGCATCCAGAATCATTCTTATTTAATTTCCCATCCCTATATTTGACAGTCTAACTGGCATATTCCTGTCATTTACAATAAAGCCTACGAAGCCAGAGATGCACTGAGCGGAGTGGGAGATCGTGTCTCGTGAAGAGAGCAGCGTGAAGGAGTGAGAGCTGTATCAGTGCAGGTCCTGAAGCACAAGAGAGAACTGAGAGAACTGAGAGAGAGAGAGCTATTGGGCTCTTATCACACGCGTATAAACCCGTATTTAAAGCGACTCATTTCTGGAAAGAGCAAGAAGGAAAGTGAAGAAAAGAGAGCAAAAGAAGACCGCCAACCGATGTTTGACTTAATTTGACATGAGAGAGGATATCTGTTTCATTTCTTTCTCACTGGGATGCGGATTTTCCCCTTCTTTTCTTGACAGCGTGCGTCTGCCCCGCATCGCTCGTATCATACGGATATATACGGAGAACAAATTAAGATGAAGTGGCCTTCGAAAGTAGTTTTTGACGGCGTACCGCTCGCTAGGGTTTCATTTGTTCTTTAATCGTGTTCAACAGCGTTGCACCGGGCACGAGGGGACGGCGGGAATTGATAGGGCACGCGCGCAGTGCTTATAAAACAACAGCTGACCGTTAAAGCTCACATCAAGCCAAATAAAACACTGCCAGAAGAAATAACACCATTGATTTTGTCATACAGAAAACGCGGGGGCATAGAAACGACGAGCTTTAAAACAGGTAAGACGATTCGCATCATTGCTTCATGCAGTTACGGTCTATTCTGCATTTAGTTTATTCAACATGTGATGGATTGGATTGCATGGGCAATTGCTGTAGATCGCGAGAATTGTTAATGCCGTGTTTGGATTTACATCACTCTAATTCCGTGGACACGGCATAGGAATGATAGATAACGAAGCAGCATGCAGATCGGCTATACGCTAAACTTGAATAGCATCGTGTGCAATTTGAAACATGTAGTAGCCTTATGTCACAAATTAATTTGAAAGTAAATCAGCACATTTTCTCCCAGTGGTCTGCATTAGTCACAGCAACAATTGATAGTCAGTGAACATTGCATGATTTGCATGACAATTAGATCGTTCTTTGAAATAATGCATTATTTAAGTGGTGCTAGTTTATTCATACTGAGCACGGGAGAGTTACTATGACAAATTCTGGTGTAATATTGCGTATGCATCCAGATTCATGGGAAAAGATAGCTATATGAAAGGCAGACTATTAGGAATATTCCTGTAATGCAAGAAACTTAATTGTTGTGCTCTATATTGGTTCAAAACAGCATTCAAAGTCGAAAATCGAATCTTTATCTATTAAAGTGACCTTAAACCGGTTATGGTGGTTTGTTTTATAGGTGTTATGTGTGCACAAGGCACACGTTATAATGCATTAGGTTGTGCAACGTCGTGTGTCTTAAACTTTGCAGCATCTGATTCAGCTTTTACACAGAATTGCAATTATAATTGAATGATTTGAAATCCACATTGCTAGAGCTGAAATAACCTGATGTATCAGAGAGCTTCGCCAGGTTGTGTTGAGGGTTTTTGGCTGAAGATGAGGGTGGAATGGGTGTCATCTTTGCACCCCCTGGTGGATAATGGCAAGCGAGTGCTGGAAAAAAAGAGTTGGGGTCTGTTTTAATATCACAGTCATTATTTGCTTTCAGTGTGTGAGCTTACTCATACAGTGTTGCCGTTTTGTAAAAAATAATGTTCATGAGTGCTTAGTAAGTGGTACAAGGGTGAATACTGTAGTGTTAACACAATGCTTCTTTTATAACTATAAGGATATTTCTCCCTGCTCCAAAATGCATCTTTAACGTGAACTGCAAATTCAGAATTTTTGGACTCAATGACTAGAATCTTTTGGATTCTTGCACTTAAAAAATTCTTTCACTCATACGCGCGATAGGACTTTCCGTCGGTTACATTGTTACGCCAATAGGTGGCAACAAGTGAGTGTCTTTTGTGTTTGAACGAGTCATGGAGTCGTTCACTCAACTGATTCCGTAAAAGACCATCAAGACTTAATCCGTTGTTAAAATTGCTTGACTACAAATCTAATACGAGACTACAGAAAGAGAGTTTAAGCATCATTTTCTGCACAAATGACAATGAGGCTGATGGGTTATTTTATTATCACCTCTGGTGTTGTCCACCGCTTAGTATGTTTTGAAGCAAATGATGAAGGTTATAGTAACAACAACAATAACTGTCTAAATAAATTGGATTTTAAATACCATCTCAAGTTTTTATTTGTATAATGGTCAGTCATTTTAAGCATTCATCATTCTTCTGCCTTCCTTCTCACTTCATTGTGAACAAAATATTTGATTCCCTAGTCCCGCTCAGACTCTTGTGAACAAATTTGATTCCCTAGTCCCGCTCCGACTCAAAAGCATGTAAAGGGGGCATGTTTGTTTGGTAGGTGTACAAATTGTTACGCCAATAGGTGGCAACAAGTGAGTGTCTTTTGTGTTTGAACGAGTCATGGAGTCGTTCACTCAACTGATTCCGTAAAAGACCATCAAGACTTTTAATCCGTTGTTAAAATTGCTTGACTACAAATCTAATACGAGACTACAGAAAGAGAGTTTAAGCATCATTTTCTGCACAAATGTCAATGAGGCTGATGGGTTATTTTATTATCACCTCTGGTGTTGCCCACCGCTTAGTATGTTTTGAAGCAAATGATGAAGGTTATAGTAACAACAACAATAACTGTCTAAATAAATTGGATTTTAAATACCATCTCAAGTTTTTATTTGTATAATGGTCAGTCATTTTAAGCATTCATCATTCTTCTGCCTTCCTTCTCACTTCATTGTGAACAAAATATTTGATTCCCTAGTCCCGCTCAGACTCTTGTGAACAAATTTGATTCCCTAGTCCCGCTCCGACTCAAAAGCATGTAAAGGGGGCATGTTTGTTTGGTAGGTGTACAACCAATGAAAATGCACTTTCACAGCCTAAATGCCAATGTGATTGGCTTGTGCTATGGTCAGTCTTACAAAAACAGTAACACACTTTCAAATCAATATGAGTCAGTGCATGTGAACAGTAACAATTCATTTACTGAGAAGATCCATTCGTGACCCAAACAACTCTACTCCTGTCACCTTGTCACATTATTTTGTTATCGCAGACAGTAATAGTTCTTTAATCAAATCCTTTACACAAAGTCAGCAGACCTTTATCATGTTCAGCATTGGCATGAGGATCATATAAGTGTGCCATTTCTGTGGCAAAACAGCTTTTCACGGGCTAGTGACACACTCATGGACAGGACCATACAGAATCTGTGAGTCATTTTCTGTGCATTTTCGGTGCTGACTGAAAGCAGAAATTAGACAACATATTTAATAAATATTCAAGGGAAGGATGATTGGCAGGATTGATTGATTAACAGGCAATTAAACTCTGCGGGAAGCATTCACTGTCGGCCTGCTCATGGGGCACATTTAATGTGTCTTTACATTGTGATGCATTACTGGTAGATGCAATCATTGTTGGTGAGTAACATGCTCTGTAAAGGAAAAACCGGCATGCTTGTTCGTTTGGAAGGCACTTCCGGCTTTTTCCATGGTAATAAAAAGAAAGTCTTTGTTAGAGAGATACGCTATTTGAATCAAATCAACCAACTACAAGGTGAATCACAACATTACAGACTTTGATTTGATGCAAAAAAAAAACAAACAAATCACATAAAAAGACAAAGGTACAAGACTGTGCACGTAACTTGAAGAGAACTACTATGGATGACAATCAAAATAAAAAATAATGGATAAATATGCAATTATTGATTTAAATATGTTTATTAATATTTAGAAGCAGCGTATTTTACGTTTATTGCAAAATATGCATATTTATACAAGTTTAAACAAAAAAAGTTGTTTAAGACCATAGGACACTGATTCTTTGATTGGTGGAAATATGAGCAGAATCATGGGTCATGTATTTGTTTTTGACCAGGAATCCAGCAGACTAATGGCTTTATGAACAGTAAATACCATTAACAATTACCTAGCTCACAGTAGGTTTATCTTTAAAGGTTAATAAGTTATTGTTAAATCAGTTCCCCTTTGGAGAATATAAATGGGGTTTTTACTTCTTTATACTTTTGATTTCCCCCTTTACAAACCAAGCCCAACGTATATGAGCTGTGAAGGTTGTGTCATTATATATCAACATGGTCAAACATCCAAAATTGTATTAAAATGTATTGTAATATATACAGTATAATGTAAAATGTGAAATGTTTAGTGTAGTGTAGTGTGTAGTGCTCTGCTGTATTTCAACAGAACAAAGACATACTCTTTATCTCATTTATTATTTACTGGCATATTTATTTTACATGTAATAAAGTCTGCAAAGTAAAGTCTGCTGCAGGCATAGGCATGCTTGAATGGGTTTCTAGAAGGCTTCTTTTATCGTCTTGTTGCAGAATTGCTTGTATAGGCCTATGTATTTTTTACTGGCTGGTGAAATGAAATATCAGCACTGGAGTTTTTGCCTTATTTAATGCATAAAAATACTAAAACAGTATTAATTATATCAGTAACATAGGTTTGGGGCAGGACTACATGTTTGTCCAAACAATGGTAGGCTCCCTGTTTAGGGAAACCTGTTTAGAAAGTTATTGCGATTCTGTTTGGTGCAGCTAATGGTGCCCAAGTCACTTACAGCAGCTTTAAAGGTACAGTAATATTTCTGGCAATGGTAGTGGGTCTGCAGTAGTTCAGTGATATCACCAGTGTGTAATTATGGCTAAAGGTGGCTAAGGCGAGTGTTTCTTGGACTGGTACTGCTGATTTGCATTTGTTTTCACAGAAAGCCCTGTCCCAGTAGAATGAATGTGCCCAGCAACTGAACAAACACGATTAAAAGGGCACACAAAGGCCCACACAAGTTTGAAGTCTGAGTGCCTGGCGGGTAGCGCATATGTATATGCACCTGACAGCGTATAATAGTTTTACTGTGTTGCAATGTTGTGATGCTTAAATTCACAAGCACCATTTTAAACAATTGATTTCAGTTTTTTTGCACGTTTTTTAATTGTATTTTTAATTTATTAATCACAATAATAAGATGATATTATCAACTTATCATTATTGGATATATCGGACATAATTTCAATACATATCTACTTTTCAAATGGAACTTTACTTTAGTTGAACCAGATTGATTTGTAAAATAAAAACTCTTGAAATATTTCTTTTGCTGACACTTGTAATGATGGAATACCAATAAACATGTCAGC